CAAACTATTTGTTATTTATACTCTCTCTCTCTTCTAACAAACTCACCCTATCTCCTCTAACTGATTTCCCCTCTACCCGCCACTAACTCTCTCTTCTTTTATTCCTCCTCATATACACTTTTAATTGTCTAACACGTTGCTTGAGTGATACTAGCTCTAGAGGAGAGAAAATTGGTTGGACGACCTTTCTCTTGCTTGAGGTTCTTTTGTGGTTTGATCAATCAACTCTAGAGGAAAGAGAATCAATACTAACTCTCCCCCACTCAAGCATCACTTTATTTCTTGATTGACATGACTAGGTGCACAAGCCAAAGCACTGCCCAACAACCTAATTTTTCATCGCTTGAGCGACTACTTGTATTAGCAATGAGAGTTGAAGAGGAGAGAGAATTGCTTTTGTAGAGGAGAGTCGTGCCTAGGCCACAAGTCGTAACTTGGGCGAGTAGCATTGTTTCTTAAGTAACCATGACGGCACATGAGCAACTTCATGGTCGCATATTGGTCCAGTGTCGTGTATGTATTGCCAAATTTTAATTGATGGATAAGTTGCTTATGCCAAGTAATCATGCTTGCACTTGCTGCTTGGTATTCAACTTCAACTTTAGATTTGGCAACTATTCTCTTGATCTTCCAAAAAATCAAGTTTCCACTAATGAAAAGTGGACCTCCTATTTAATGGTGATCCTACCCAAGCAATGTCATAATAACAAACAAGTATGTTTGCCTAGTTCACATGATTCATATTGAAAAGACTTAGCGATAGAAAAACTAGAAACAAGTAGGCACAAGTTTTCTAGACTCTAGTGCCCAAAGCACTGTACAAGAGCTAGAGTGGCATAAGAAACACAAGTCACCGAGGACTAAGATGATATAATCCTCCAAACTCATGTCCAATTCCAATCGTCCATCCATTGCACTGATCCTATATAAGAATACAATTATTAACAAATAGGACAAAATAATTAAGAGTGAGAGTAAGTTTGTTAATAGAGATTTAGATTAAAAGGAGATTCAGGGATAAATAAGGTAGAGTTTAAAGAAAGTTGAGGAAGAGGATGGGTTTGTTCAATGTCTTGTACTTTAATTTGAGAGGTGTCTGAAAGAGTAACAAAAGACAAGGAGTCCAAAAAGGTCAAGGAGGCATTGAAAGGTTCGAGAGAGGAGGACTAAGAAATAAAGGATTACTAGATTGAGCCACACCTAAAACAAATAATGCAAATTGGTTGGTTGTTTGGAGCTTGCGAAGTTCATGATAAAGCAACAAAAATTTTAGAAGTTAATACTAGAAGTGATGACTTGGGCCATATTTGCTTGCTGAGACTGCTAGTGAGCTTTGGTGTGACATTAGTGGGACGAACACAACCACCTCCTCATCCTCCATTGCAACTACCATGATGAGAGGAGTGAGAAAGGAATATTCCATAGGCATTTTATTAATTTCTCTCAAATTTAGAAGGAAGAATATTTTATTTCTCATACATAATTATTAGGTCATTGGATCTATATGTACACGAGCCTGTTGGCTATTATGGAAATATTAATCAACTAATTCTAGGAAGACAAATCCCAATAATTATGGGATTTATTCTAGAAACATAATCCTAGCATTAACAATACATAATCAGCTATGATGGATAAGAAAATTTAAACTTTCCTAAAATACATTAAGTATCAATTTTAACACTCCTCCTCAAGCTAATGAACAAATGTTTTCCATTCTCAACTTGGATATAATTCTTTCAAAGTTGATACAGTTCAGGCCCTTTGTGAGAATATCTACAAGTTGATTTTGAGTGGACACATATGAAATGCAAATCAAGCTGCTATCAAGCTTTTCTTTGATGAAATGTCTATCTACTTCAATGTGTTTGGTTCTATCACGTTGCACCGAATTGTGGACTATACTAATTGTAGATTTATTGTCACAGTATAACTTCATAGGTTCATCCCACCTTATCTTCAAGTCTTCCAATATAATCTTCAGTCATAGAAATTCACATATACCTTGGGCCATTGCTTGGAATTCTGATTCAACACTTGATCTAACCACTACATTATGCTTTTTGCTCTTCCAAGTCACCAAGTTTCCACCAAGGAAGGTGCAATATCTAGTAGTTGATTTCTTATACACAACTAACCCAACATAATATGCATCCATATATGCTTCAATACTTACATTCTTGTCTCGTTTGAACAAAATCCTTCTTCACAGGGTCTCTTTTAGATATTGAATAATTCTAAGGACAACTAGTAAATGTACTTCTTTTGGTTGATGCATAAACTGACTCACTAGACTAACAACAAACACAATGTCTGGCCTAGTGTGGGACAAGTAAACAAGCCTGCTCACAAGTCTGATACATTTCCTTATCCACTGCAATATCTTCCTCTGCACTTTCTAACTTTGTATTTGGATCAACTGGAGTATTTGCTGGTTTGCAAGCTGTTTTACCTTTAAGCAAGTCAGTAATGTACTTTTGTTTAGATATGAAGATTGCTTTCTTAGAATGGGCCACTTCAATTCCCAAAAAACATTTGAGTCTCCCTATTGTCTTAATCTCAAATTCTTTGGCAAGACATTGACTTAACTCAGGTTCAGCAACAGTACTCCCAATTTTAGGTCAAATAGTGCTCCCAATTTCAGGTTCAACAGGTCCGGCAGTACTAATTTCAGGTACAATAGGTGTAGCAGCACTAGTTGTGCCAATTTCAGCCCCAAAAGTCATATTTGGAAGCATTAGAGTCTCATTTTCCTCTCTTACATTCTCCCCCTGAAGTTCCTTGAAGTATCTCTTGTTCATTAAAGGTGACATCCCTTGACACATAAAGTCTTCTTGACGGAGAATGAAAACATTTGTATCCCTTTTGTGGAGTTGAGTACCTTAAGAATACACACTTGATAGCCCTAGGATCAAGTTTCCCCCTATCATTACTATGAACATATACAAAGGATACATACCCAAATATCCTATGTTGGAGTTTATTTGTAGAGTCCAAGGGCGGGTATAATGTGGATAAGACTTGCATGGGGCTTTTTGATTCTAGAATATTTTAGGGTAACCTATTGATCAGGTAGGTAGTAGTAAGTAGGGCTTCCACCCAAAATTTCTTAGGAACATGATTTTGAAAAATCATGGCTCTAGTTTGGTTTAATAGGTGGTTGTATTTTCTTTCCGCAATCCCATTTTGTTGGGGTGTGTTGACACATGAATACTCGTGGATAATCCCTTCTTTTTGGCAAAAAGAGTTTAGCAAAGAATTAAAGTAGTCCTTGGCACTGTCAAATCTAATCCTCTTAATATTGACTCCAAATTTGTTTTTAATCAGTGATACATACCGAATAAAAATAGAGCTAAATTCAGATTTCTGTTTCAATAAGAAAACCAAAGTCACCCTGGTAAAATCATCAATGCAAGTTAAAAACCATTTTGCACCCAAGATATTAGGAACATTAACTGGAAAATGGTACACGCTTGTGTTTAGCAAACTCACACACCTCACAATGTAGACTCCCCACATCTAAGTTCTTAAACAAGGAAAGAAATATTGCTTTCACTACTTGGAACGAGACATCCTACAATTGGTATAGTCGGATTTTCTATTTGTTGGTCATGGTGGATTCAGATATAAGAGAGTGACTTCTGATAGGTATATTAGGATCTTCTATGTGTCGTACAAGTCATTTCATTCTCTAGCATGTACAATCATCCTCCCCGAGTTCTTGTCCTATAATATACAAGCATTGTTATAAAAAAACATTACATGAGAGATCTTTTGTAAGCTTTTGGATAGAAATTAGGTTTGTGGACAACTTAGGCATGGAGAATATTTTTAACATTATGGATGGGTTTATTTGGACCTCTCCTTGTCCTGTTGCTTTTATAAGGGTTTCGTCCACTGTGGAATTTTTGTTGTTGCAAGGACATGGAGAATATGTGGAATAATATTTGGGTAGGGGGTGTCATCTGGTTTGTGGATCCATAATCTAATATCCAGGAGTGGGTAAATAGTGTATCTGAAACATAAGTCCAAAAGAAACGGAATTATCAGAATATGTTAAGGAGTACATACCCGTGGACTTCTCCAATTTACTCAAAAAAGACCTTACCCTTTCTATCACTTCATGATTTAGGTGACCAGCCTCTTCACTATGTCCATTAGCATTGTGTACTTGCCCTTGTCCTCCCTTTTTTTGAGAACCTCCTTTTTTTCCCCCATCTAGGAGGTTTCTGCCCCCATTCTCGACTGGTTTTCCATGTAACTTCCAACACTTCTTCCGTGTGTGGCCTGGCTTGTTGCAGTAGGTACACCAAATTTCCTCATGTTTTGTTTCTCTGTATTAAGAAATCCATTTTTCGTTTGATTAACAACCATGGTTATTCCTTCTTCAACTACCATTGCTGTGCTTTCAACAATTGGGTTTCCAACATCAAATTTCGCCTACTTTCTTTACTCCGAATGATAGCTATGACTTCGTTAAGTCCTGGGCTGGGACTCTCTTTTCCCAAAATTTGGGTAAGGACCTGACATATTCAGAATTCAAGCCTACCCAAAAATCATAAACTCTATCTTTTTCAATGTAATCTTTAAGGATTGCTGAATCTTCTGAACACCTTGCTTTTATAACACGATAGTGATCCATTTCCACCCATGGAGACTTGAGTTGATTGGCATATTTTATGACAGATTTGTTTCCCTGTTTGGCTCCCAAAGTTTTCACCTTACCTCATATATTTGTGTAGCATCCTTGGCTTTAGAATAAGTTTGTTCCTCGGCTTCCCAAATTTCCTTAGCTGATTTAAGGAATACCCAAGTATCACTAATTTCTGGTACCATAGAATTCCACAACCATACCATGATCAAGGAGTCTTCTTCGTCCCATGATTTGAACTTGGCATCCGTTTCATAAGGGGCATTGTCAGTAAGGTGACTGCCCTTTCCTTTCCCTTCAATATGGTCCTAATGAGTTGAGACCACTTAAGATAATTCTTCCCAGTGCTGTAATTTGCTATCCCTATAAGCTTTTCGCATGGGATCATTCGTTGTGTTGGTGAAAGTTACGGGAAAAACTTACTCCAATTCCAATTTTTATTGGATAGAGTTGATCTAGCTGAAGCTATCTCCCATGCAGATAGAATATAAAAAGAAAGTATAGAGAGATGGTGAGTTCTCGAAAATGAATAATTAAAATGTTAACATTTTAATTTATATATTTAACATAACTTAGAATTTGAATCTTAATTATTTTTAAACCATCCTGACTGAATTAGAAAAACCGGATTTTACAACCTGATGACACTATTTACATAAACAGGAAACCGTTGCCACTGAATATGAAATGTTGATTATACAGTATTTTCATTCATATTGAAAACCCAATATAAGATGGCCTTTTTTCCCCCTTCCCACCCAAATGAAGTGTGAGAGAATTGTTAAGATCTTCTGTATGCAACCTTTGCTCCAAACTCGCTGACATATGTTCTTGATGTAGCTTGCTTTAGTGTTCATGTGAGAGGGTCTGAGTATATTCCACTTCTGGGAACCGACGATCCAAGTTCTTTCCTGGTGGGAGTTCCAGATATTGAACTATGAGGTATTGGATTCATTCCCGAGCCTTAGTTTATTCTGGCCTTTTGCACCGTGTTTGTTCCTAATGAAAGGAGGTTTGCTTATCTTTACACCAGCTATCCATTGGACGCTTTGTGAGATCTGTCAATGAGAGATAGTCTGCTAGAAGGTTTTGGAGGTTGATATCATTGCATGGACCAATCTCAACAATATTGTGTTTTTCCCATGATCATCGAAGAGGATGTTTAAGCTGTTCTTGTAAAGGTTGATCATTATCACATAATGTTGTTGAACTTGTTCTAAATAGTATGAGATTAAAGAAAACTGGTAAGTTTGAATGAACTATGCTATCATTCGAGCATTTAAGCTTTATCTCCAATTTGTCATCATATCTGATATGCCTCTTTTATTGATATGTAGAAAAGTTTTAATTAGATAAACCTTGAATTAGCCATCTTTGCCCACAAAATGCCACTAAAACATGCTTAAAAACTCGTGTCAGGAAATTAATGGATACTGGTATGCGCTGGTTTGCCTGAACCATACTGTGTGTATGACAGCTGTGTATACAAATTTTGAAACTTCATTTTGTAGTTGTGAGTGAAAATGGATTTTGTATATTGATTTGGGACAAGTTCTGCAAGATTTACAAGCTTTTGAAAATACCTGTTATCAGTTCATATTCAACTTATTTATTTGATGCAAGTATTATTTTTTTTCTTAACATTTTTAAAGGTATGGACAAAATGTATACTTCTTATTTGTACTATAAAAAATGGTATAATCATAAAAAAAAAAAACTAATTATATAAATGGTGTTTTAATAATTTTTGAGTTTAAGGTTTACTTTTTATTTTACAAATTAGTTTTAGTGCATGATTAGTTATATGTTTGTGTGGTTCTAAGTTTTATTTATTATTGTTTATTACGTGATTACAATTAAAATATTTGTGTTTAGAAGGATATCTTCTATGGATAATGGGAACAAACACTGTTTTCAATTAGAAGAAGACAAATAATAATGGACACTGAGTTAGTTACACATGTTCCCGAACATAGACAAAGGCTATAAAAGCAAAGGTTTTAACCGAATTATTGTAACTAGAAAATTCGTTATGATTATGCCAAAATTCCGTCAATAAATTTGATGAAAAACTGACTGTTCAAAATTTGTACGTTAGTAAATTTTATCAATAAATATTATAAAACTTGTGAGTAATTATCGGTTACACAGTGCAAATTACTTACAATCTCTTATCTTTAGATAATTATCAATAAATTCAGTCTTTATAATTATTAATAGCATATTCATTAGCAGAACACATATATTATGATTACGGGTAGATTTATTATTTTAATTCACAGTCCCCCAGCCAGCGCTGACCTCTTTTAGAGTTAGGTTTCATTTTTATTTTCAAAGCATATTCATTAATAGAACACATACATCATGATTACGGGTAGATTTATCATTTTAATTCTCAACCCCCAAGCTAGCTTCCAAAATCTCATGAAGTGGTTGGGACAGAACTAGGACCGAGTTAACCTCTTTATTGAATCTTAAAAACCTTTAAATAGATTTAAACAGGACTTTAGGTTAAATACAACAAAACTGGAAATAAAATATGAATTTATTCAAAATAAAAAAACTATATAACCTATTCTATCTATAATAATAAAATAATATTACATATAAATAATCAAAATTATCCATCTCTGTCAAACTAATTTTCTTAGATATAAACTAATAAAATAAGACTTAAACAAAATTAATAATAAAATTTTTAGATTTAAATTTATCTAACATTCGGCCGACCATCCGGTAGCAGTTAGAAATGAATGTTTTGTGTAGGTATGGAAATGAATGTGAAGAGGAAAACGATGGAGTGTAGTGTAGAATAGAGCGTGTGTTTTTCATTCGGTGTGAAACAATCACATTCTCCCCTTTTATTTTGCCTTGTTGTATGAAAAAGAAAATGGAAAAGGGAATCAATCCTCTATGATGAGGCATCGAGTCAACCAAATGGGAAAAAAGATATGGAGAGAGAAATCAGATTTTTGTTTGTTTTTTCTTTTTACTTTTTTATTTATTATTAATTATTATTTTTATCAATTTTCTAAGAACTAATATTTTAATTTCTAAATAAAATTCTCTTTTCTTATATATATATATTTTCATTTTTAGATTCCAATTAGTAAAAACTTTAAGATTTTAATTTTTTTTAATACAAAACGACTTTTCATTTATGACAAAGGTTTTCTAACAATAAAATTTTATTACATTCAGGACTTACCTAATACATCAAATAAAAGCTGGATTTAAAGGAAAGCAAAACATTTTGCAAACACAACAACAACTGTTAAAAACCGGTTATGACTAAATAAACATAGAATCATTCTAAAACCTCAAACCATGTTGGGCTAGTTTCTCTTCAGTGATGGCATTGAGTTGCTGAATCATGTCAGCAGTGAGATGATTCTTCCAATCTCCGATTTCGCCACGCCGGAAGAAAGCTCGGTGTGCTTCACCGGACGAAAGCTTCCCATTCCTATTCACCGGCAAGTTGCTCAAGTTATCAAAACTACAGAGCTTCAGAATCTCTTGCACCACACCAGCGTCCTCTTCTTCTCTGGAAAAAGGGCAGCCCACAAAGGTGGCCAGTTTCTTCAACGAAAATTCGGGGTTGAGTTTCATTTCCTCAAACCTCATGAAGAGGATCTTGTGAGGGTGTTCTAAGCTCTTGTGCCAGTACTCCAAGACATGCTCCCAAAAGGGTCCATAGAGACTGATCCCTCTGCAGAACTTGTGGAATGCCTCATGGAGTGAGTTGGGGAGCATGGTGTGGGGTCTGAGCCTGTTTGTGAAATGCCAGAGGGAGATGAAAGCGTCTTTGGGGTCTCTACAGAGATAAACAATCTTGCAAGATGTTTGTGTGACAGATTTTGGCAGTGAGACATAGGGGATGTGGGTGGAGAAGAGCCTTGGAGAGGGAAACGAGGAGAGGTCAGGGAGTGAGGGTTTGTCAAGGTAGAGGTCAAGTTCCAAGAAGGGAACAAGAAAGTGGGGATTGTGAGTGAGCAAAGGGTGGTTTTCTGTAGTTGGATGATATTTGTGGCGGTGAAGCAAGGAAAAAGTCCAAGCTTTTAGCCAAGTGGTGCCTGATTTGGGAGTGGTTACAATGAGGACATCGGTGTGATGAGCCTGAAAGTGGTTTTGGCAAGACAGAACTCCTTCAAGCTGTCTTGTTGTGTGCCAAAAGCCTTCGTACCGGTGAAGATGCTTTGCAACCCAACCTTTCTCCAATGGTAAGGTGGCTATCAGGTCCTTGCAGTCTTCGCTCAGTTTCCTGTTCTCATCCAGGAAATTCGGCACCACCCTAGTTTCTCTTTCTGACACCCTGCTGTCCATGGAGAAAAGGATGAATGATTTTCAGACTAAAAATAACAACAAATCAGTTATACAAATATAAAGATACGAGGCATGGAAATAATTGGAGGAGTGCTGATTGGCTAGTGATCTACACTGTCTTAATGTGTTTTGGCATTTACAATAAAGTTCTGAATGCATGCATGTGATCTTCATCAATACTGTGTCCATGGGTCCATTTCCATTGTAATGTCTCTTGTCGATTTCTCAAACTCTTCTTATTCAAAAAGAGCATGCAAGGCATCGACTTCCATTTCTACATGCATTATGCATGGAAGATATATACATTGCATATATTTTCTTATCTACTTTCACTAAAGATACAAGTTTTGAACATTTATCATTAAAAAGTTATGCACCAATTCATAATATCTCTCGTAATGATACACCGCTACTGGTTTTTTCTTGGATCAGGAATCGGAATGGATTCATTCCTATATTACATTCAAAGAGAGGAAACAAGAATTTGGATCTGGTTTAATATCCATCTCGATAACAACTTTCTTTTTATTTTCGTACTTAATTTATATTCTCTTTCCACACTCACTGTTAACACTATATTCACTATATAATTCTGGCAAAAAAATTATGCTTTTAAGTAAACAATAAAGCTGCAGGCTTTTTTACACTAGTTATTTTAAAATTTTTATTTTGATTCTTTAATCAAAATATATTCACGCGAGGTGTAGGACTTTAGATTTTAATTTATAATCGAAGTTTATTTTTCATTTTATGCTTTGGTTCTTTTTTTTAACAAAAACACATATTTTTATTTTATTTTTAAACAAATTATTGTTTCAATTTTTTCCATCATCACATTCTTAGCATTTCTTATTCCAAAACTACCAAAGAAACTACTAATGTTAATTTTTATCATTATTTGAACCACATTTTATTAATAAAATCAACTTTTTTCTGCCTTTGTAACTTGTTTAACTCTCATTTTCATCTTACTTTTGTAAATATCTATATTTTGGACTACACTCATTAAATTATATCTCTAATCCCCAGTTTTTGTATCTAATTTTGTGATGAGAAGATCCTCTACCAAATCATAGAGCTTGACATCCCAAAGAAATGGAAAGAACAACAAAAGGAGGGAGATCATGAAGTTCAGGTGGCAAGTCGCTGGGTACCCTTATCCACCATTGAGCACCAATGTTATAGAAAGCAAATTTGGTGTTTATGAAGACCTATGCCAAGTGGCAGATTCCGTGTGTTGAGCAACACTTTGATGATGTGACAAGTTGAGTCCTATTTCTTCTTGTTCTAAAAGAAAATTGGTTTTTATGAATGTTGGAGGCACAAAATAACTTTTAGAGAGCTTGGAGGTCTACTAGGGCTTGCGAAAACACTCCCTTCTTCTTCTTGGTTTCTCCTTTTTCTTCCATTTTCATTTTTATAAGCTTGACATGAAGAGTCAAACCAATCTTATTAAGGGTAGATGTAGCCATTAAAATGCTAGTTTTCTTGTTTCTAAGCTTAATGTTTGTTGTAATGGGGACGTTCATAATGTGATTTGTGGTTCATTAGATATTGGACAATATCTTTTGAAACCTAGACTTGGAACTAGATACTTAATGGAGCTAGTATCTAAGGATGGAGTTTCACCAATTAGTTGTCTTAAACCTTAAATCTTAAAGCGGGTTTGTTTTTTATGTATTAAAGGGATTGACTCTAAGTGAGGAAACTTAGGTTCTTTCACCTAAGGGATTAGGGCTTGAGTATTCTTATGGGTTGACTTTAGCGTTTTGGTGGAGAGGAGATGAGTTTGCATAACGATGAAATCTACCCTCAACAATGTCGTTTCATATCATTTCTGACTTTTTTCCATTCTGAAGTGTCTCAAACTCCCAAAGTCCAACCTTTATTCTTCATCAATTTATTTCTTGCACATAATCTTAATTTATGAACTATTCTTTAGTTTGTATTAGTTATTTATAC